GAGTGATGTTGAGTGTCTTTTCATGTGTATGTTAGCCATCTGGATGTCTTCTTTGGAAAAATGTCTATTCATGGCTTCTGCCCATTTCTTAACTAGATTATTTGTTTTTTGGGGGTGTTGAGTTTGATAAATTCTTTATAGACTTTGGACACTAACCCTTTATCAGATATGTCATTTGCAAATATCTTCTCCCATTCTGTAGATTGCCTTTTTGTTTTGTTGATTATTTTCTTTCCTGTGCAGAAGTTTTCTTTCTTGATGGAGTCCCAATAGTTTATTTTTGCTTTTGTTTCCCTTGCTTCCTGTGATGTGTCTAGTAAGAAGTTGCTACAGGTGAGGTCAAAGAGGTTGCTGCCTGTGTTCTCCTCTAAGATTTTGATGGTTTCCTATATCACATTTAGGTCTTTAATCCATTTTGAATTTTTTTTTTGTATGGTGTAAAAAAGTGGCCCAGTTTCATTTCTTTGCATGTGGCTGTTCAGTTTTTCTAACACCATTTGCTAAAAAGACTGTTTTTTTCATTGATAATTCTTTCCTACTTTGTCAAAGATTAGTTGACCATTGAGTTGTGGCTCTATTTCCGGGTTTTCTATTCTGTTCCACTGATCTATACGTCTGTTTTTGTGCCAGTACCATACTGTCTTGATCACTACAGCTTTGTAATATAGCTTGAAGTCCAGAATTCTGATGTTTCCAGCTTTGCTTTGCTTTTTCATGGTTGCTTTGGCTATTTGCAGTCTTTGGTGGTTTCATACAAATTTAAGGATTATTTGTTTTAGCTCTGTGAAAAATGCTGGTGGTATTTTGATAGGGGTTCCATTAAATGTGTAGATTGCTTTGGGTAGTATAGACATTCTAATAATATTTGGTCTTCTAATCCACAAGCATGAAAAGTTTTTCTATTTCTTTGTGTCATCTTCAATTTCTTTCATGAGTGTTGTATAGTTTTTAGAGTACAGTCCTTTTACCTCTTTGGTTAGGTTATTCCTAGGTATCTTATGGTTTTTGGTGCAATTGTAAATGGGATCGACTCTTTGATTTCTCTTTCTGCTGCTTCATTATTGGTGTATAGAAATGGAACGGGGGCGCCTGGGTGGCTCAGTTGGTTGGGTGACTGCCTTCGGCTCAGGTCGTGATCCTGGAGTCCCGGGATCAAGTCCCGCATCGGGCTCCCTGCTCGGTGGGGAGCCTGCTTCTCCCTCTGACCCTATCCCCTCTCATGCTATTTCTCACTCTCTCTCTCAAATAAATAAATAAATAAAATCTTAAAAAAAAAAATAAGGCTGGGGTAAAATAGTTACTATTGTTTCTTAAAAAAAAAAAAAAAAGAAATGGAACGGATTTCATTACGTTGATTTTGTATCCTGTGACTGTTGAACTTACATATCAGTTCTAGCAATTTTTTTGTGAAGTCTTTCAGTTTTCTACATAGAGTATCATGTCATCTATGAATAGTGAAATTTTGACTTCTTCCTTACCAATTTGGATGGCTTTTATTTCTTTTTGTTGTCTGATTGGTGAAGCTAGGACTTGCAGTACTATGCTAAATAACAATGATGAGAGATGGCATCCCTGTCTTGCTCTTGACTGTAAAGGAAAAGCTCTTAGTTTCTCCCTATTGAGGATGATATTAGCTGTGGGTCTTTTGTATATGGCCTTTATGATGTTGAGGTATGCTCCCTCTATCCCTACTTTGTTGAGGGTTTTTATCAAGAATGGATGCTGCACTTTGTCATATGCTTTTTCTGCAATCTACTGAGAGGATCATATATGGTTCTTATTCTTTCTTTTATTAATATGGTGTATCACGTTGATTGATTTGCAAATATTAAACCACCCTTGCAGCCCAGGAATATATTCCACTTGATTGTGGTGAATAATTCTTTTAATGTACTGTTGGATTCGATTTGCCAGTATCTTGTTGAGAATTTTTGCATCCATGTTCATCAGGGATATTGGCCTATAATTCTTTTTTTTTTTTTTTTAAGATTTTTATTTATTTATTTGGCAGATAGAGAGCACAAATAGGCAGAGTGGCAGGCAGAGGGAGAGGGAGAAGTAGGCTCTCTGCTGAGCAGGGAGCTGGATGCGGGGCTCGATCCCAGGACCCCAGGATCATGACCTGAGCCGAAGGCAGCCGCTTAACCGACTGAGCCACCCAGGCACCCCTATAATTCTCCTTTTTAGTGGGGTCTTCATCTAGTTTTGGGATCAAGGTAATCCTAGCCTTGTAGAATGAGTTTGGAAGTTTTCCTTCCATTTCTATTTTTTGGAACAGTTCGAGAAGAATAGGTATTAGTTCTTCTTTAAATGTTTGGTAGAATTCCCCTGGGAAGCTATTTAGTCCTAGATTTTTGTTTGTTGGGAGATTTTTGATTACTGCTTCAGTTTCTTTGCTGGGTATGGGTCTTTTCAAATTTTCTATTTCTTTCTGTTTCAGTTTTGGTAGTTTATGTTTCTAGGAATTTGTCCATTTCTTCCAATTGCCCAATTTGTTGACACATAATTTTTCATAATATTCTCATAATTGTTTGTATTTCTGTGGTGTTGGTTGTGATCGCTCCTCTTTCATTCATGATTTTATTTATTTAGGTCCTTTCTCCTTTTCTTTTTGATAAGACTGGCTTATCAGTATTATAAGGGGTTTATCAGTTTTATTAATTCTTTCAAAGAACCAGCTCCTGGTTTCATTGATCTATTCTACTGTGTTTTTTTGTTTGTTTATTTCTGTATCATTTATTTCTGCTCAAATCTTTATTATTTCCCTTTTTCTGCTGGCTTTAGGCTTTACTTGCTGTTCCTTTTCTAGTTCCTTTAGGTGTAAGGTTAGGTTGTGTATGTGAAGTTTCAAAGAAGTCTTGCTTCTTGAGGTAGGGCTGTATTACTATATATTTCCCTCTTATGACCACTTTTGTTGCTTCCCAAGGGTTTGGACTGGGCCTATTGTTTTCTTTCTAATAAGATATTTGTGCCATTCTAAATGAGTGTACTTATATAGTTGCTAAAAAGTTAAATATCTACAGCCCCAGTTAGCAAATGGGAAGCAGAATATTTCAGATTTTCTTTTATGATGTTGTGGGAATAATAACTCTTTGTTTAGACTCTAAACCTACACCTCATTTTCATGGGAAACCAAAATTTTATAGACACTCACTAAGGTCAAACAGCATTTAATTTAATGCAGGGAATCATGCAATACAGTTCACCAAGATAAAGGTAAAGAAAAACAAAACCAGTAAGACCTCCTTAAAATGAATTAGTAAGAAAACCATTCCAACAAGTGGGGAAAAATATCCTCAATTTTGAATTATCCTTAAAGCAAATTTCGTAAACATACAAAAATTAAAACTGGGCCAAGTAGCACATGGGCAGTTATAAGGTAAACCCTTTGAATATGTAGGAAGTCCTCACTTTGCACATTTCCAATATGCACGAAATTTGGTTACCAAGATTTAGGTGATTAACACCAGTTCCCCAACAACACAGTTCCAATTTCAGTTACCATGATATGTCAACTGGGTATAATTAAATAAGTATTCATTTCACTCACACATGGCAAAGTGTGTAGTTGTGTTGCCTCCTTATCTCCCAGGACGTTATGCAAAAATGGATCCTTGAGAGAATTGGCCAAGAAAGATTAAAGTGTAGTAAAGAAACCATAACTGAGAGCAGGGGAAGTAAAATTGAATCAACTGTAAATGGAATTTCAGAACAGAGAGCTGACGGTGAGAAAGTTGACACTGTGGATGTATATGTAGCCAGAGGGGATGAGTGAAGGCAAACATATCATCATAGATGGAAAAAGTGATTGTGCCTGAAAGATGGAGAAGTCCCAGAGGAAATGATGCCAGCTAAAAGAAAACCTTCACCCAAAAGACTTTCTCGGAGATATTTCACAACATTTGAAAGTGCAAAGGATAAAATGTTGGAAGCTGCTCCAAACTTAGAGAGGAGCATAAGGAGTCAGAGTAGACTTGTGGATTTATTTTAGTTTCCTGAAGCTAAATTTCTAAAAGGCTGAGAACTTTCCAAAGCTGTCCCTCTCTTTCTGATTCAAATATTCTATTCATGACTATTTTCCATGACAATAACTATCTTTTATGTGCTCTTCCTACCTTCCCTAGAGTGTTAGAGCTCCTTCCCTACCGAGGATAAGATCATTTTTCTGAAATGTTATCTCTCCAGCCTTCCACTTGTACGGGCATATCCTTGATTTATGCAGTAATAGACTTTACATTCGCTTGGATCCTCTCATTAAGAAAGAGAAGAGAGACCAAGTGGAATTGTAGGCTCACCATTTTCTCCATGAATCTCAGTTCACAGTCGTCCCGCCCTTTACCCCTGGTTTCCCTTTCCTTGGTTTCCATTACCCACAGTCAACCCCACCATCCAGCAGCAGGTGATCCTCCTTCTGATGTACCTTCAGAAGGTCAATAGTATCTCATGCTACATCACAACGCCTATGTCATTCACCTCAGTTCATCTCATCACATAGCATTTTATCATCTCACACCATCACAAGGGTGAGTACAGTACAGTAAGATTTTTGAGAGACCACATTCACATAACTTTTATTACAGTATAGTGTGATAATTATTCTATTTTATTATTATTATTGTTAATCTCTTACTGTGCCTAATTTATAAGTTAAACTTTCATAGGTATGTAGGTACAGGAAAAAACATAGTATATAAAAGTGTTCAGTACTATTCACAATTTCAGCCATCCAGTGGGGATCTGGGGACTTAAACCCCATGGATAAGGGGGAGACTATTATATTCAGTATTTTTAATGAACTACACCCCCAGCGCTGCCCTGTATGTCACATCCAGTTCTTGCCATGCACTGACCTCAAATAAACCATATTAGTACTTCTTGCCATAATGTCCTACATACTGGTCACGTCATCTTTATAGATACCAAAAAGAAAGAATAAGCAATGAAAAATAGAAAGAACAACAGCTTTGGCAGAAAATAGCAGGTAGAGAAAATGAACATACCTTTTAGGTCATCATCTATCTTGGGTAAACTTGGTGAAGCCAATGTGTCCAGTGTAAAAGTGAGATCTTTGTGAAAGGTTTCAACATGTTCTTCATTAATATGGATGGCAATCCGAAAAACATTTTTAAGCCAGGAAATGAGAAAAAAAAAGATTTTATGAATAAGAAAGTCTGTACTTATACTTTCATTTAATTGGAATACTAATTGGTCGGTTCTTTATTCCCTCCTTAGAAGCTCTGTTTTTGAAGTTTTTATGGAGCATGGAGCATACTGCTTTGTCATTCCTTAGTAACGAAAAAACAACAACAACAACAACAAAGAACAAAAACCATATAGCCTTCTTCCAACTTCTCCTCTGTTTCTGGGCAAGCATTTCTCTCTCAGGAGTTCCTGCTTTTGCTTACTGTTGGCGAGGAAGAGAGTGGCAATGAACTTTATCTGGTAGTTTGGGAGCGTAAGTTGAAGCACGAACAAGTATGGCCTTGCAGCTGACACTGAAATCAAAGACTCTTTGTTCCTTGGGGATTGAAGACTGATTGCTGCCTCATCAGTACAGTCTCCCCGGAAAAGCATTTCCAGCTTCCTCTCCCTGTCTCTGAGAACTGAATCACGTGTGAGGCACACCCTTTCCCAAGAGCCAGGACCTCACAAAGGAGCTTTCTCTGTCAAAAGCAATGTCAGCCTCATTTTTTTTTTAATCAGGGTGTGGCAAATCTGGCTCACATGCTAAGGTACAGTCAACTCGCAATGTGACAGGAAATCTGGAATAGCATGTCTTAAATTGATTTATATGACTGCATTAGTTCATATGATCACATGAGGGTGGATCCATGCCTTTTTCTTCTTTATTCCTAATGCAGAGCACAGTCAGTGCCTGCAACATACAAGCTCTCAGTAAATGTTGTATTAAACTTAAGAGTTTTACTTATTTGTTGTTTTCCCAGGCTGCCCTTGCAATTACTCTTGATCCTTTTTGTGACCAATGCAAGTGCTATGAGAACTGGAACTGAGTTGCACAGAGTAGGCAGGCAATAAATATCAGTTGGAATGGTATTCTGTATATATTCCAGGATTATTTTATCTTCAAGCTGTTCCATGTAAACAAATGGCACCCTCACTCTCCTCCCATCCTGTCCAGCCTGCTTAAAACTGCTGATTCGTTTTTCTCGCTCAAGGTTACTAAGGCAAAAGTAACTGATTGCAGTATGCCACTGTTTTTTAATATACTGAGGGTTCACAGCTTGCCCATGCTTCCTGCTATTGCAAGTTCTTGGCAAAACTGAGATCTCTGGCAATAGCAGGTTTCACTCATTTTACAAGGTGATCTGGCAAAAATGGATGCAGCCATACTGAATGCTATTCCCACGTACTTACCTACAGGTTTTCATTCAGGGTATGTTCCTTCCAAATGTTAAGAAATACACCAAAGCAGAGGCATTTGAATATTTACTCTGATAAACAATCTTTCAAATATTTCCAGATGGGGACTTCCACTAGCTATGAATCAGCTTATCCATTTCCTTATTTTTTATGATTTCACAGGCCTATGACTAGCAGATTAGTCATCGTGTCTCTTTATTAAGGAGTGAAAAGGAGGCTTTTTAAAATCAAATGATAAATGTGAATTGTAAATCCCTTTTAAAAATTAACTTTATACTCATACCATACATTGGCAGTCCTAGAAACTCCTTATCAATGTGTGATGGCCCAAATTCCCAGTAATTACATAAAAAATCTGCAGACAGCATTGACTAGTGACACTACTCCCTCCTTTTCCATCATGGAACATTCTTTCATTTTCTATGACCAACAAGGCTGGATCATTTTAAGTTTCAATTATATTACAGATAATTGAGAACTTGGCCATATTGCTAAGAATCAGGTTGCCATGAGTACCACCAATGAATTCATCAATGTAAAACCTTATATTGTGCTATTGTAATTTTTTTTTTTTTAAGATTTTATTTATTTGCGAGAGAGACAATGAGAGACAGAGAGCATGAGAGGGAGGAGGGTCAGAGGGAGAAGCAGACTCCCCGCTGAGCAGGGAGCCCGATGTGGGACTCGATCCCAGGACTCCAGGATCATGACCTGAGCCGAAGGCAGTCGCTTAACCAACTGAGCCACCCAGGCGCCCAACTATTGTAATTTTTTTTAACTCTAAGCAATTGTCTTTTCACAACAGAGGACAATTCAGGAAGATCATGGTCCAGGTGGATTATAAGGGCAAGTCCAGAAACTCCTCCACAGAATATATTTATACTATGGCTTTTGATAAAGATGAAGTGACTGTAAGAAGCTTATTTTGGGGAAGAGTAAGAGTCTCAAAACTTACACTTGGAGTTCAAGAAGAAAGTAGAAAGGGAAAAGAAATTATTCAGACAGGAAAATAATTATTCCTCATTTCTGGAAAGAAGGAAAGAACAAATTCTAGGATACAAGAGAACCAATGAATCCCAAACAAGGTAAGAAGGAATGGATGGATACGTACCTAGACATAACATGGTGAAACTGTAGAATACCAAAGACAAAAAGAAGCCAGAAAAGAGAAGAGTCGTTACCATCAAAGGACTGCCAAACTGACAGCTAATTTTTCAGCAGAAATAGTGGAGTAAAGAAGTGCTACAACTTTCGGCCTATAAATAGTCCTCGTAAAATTACCTTTCTGGCATAGGGGAGAAAATCAGTCTTTTTTTTTAAGACTTTATTTTTTAGGGAAGTTTTAGGTTCACAGTAAAATTGAGCAAAAATCCCAGAGGGTTTCTTTTCTTTCTTTTTTTTTTTAAAGATTTTATTTATTTATTTGACAGAGAGAGATAGCAAGAGCAGGAGCCACAAGAAAGGGGAGTGGGAGAGGGACAGGCCTCCTGTAGAGCAGGGAGCCCGATGTGGGGCTCGATCTCAGGACCCTGGGATCATGACCCGAGCCAAAGGCAGATGCTTAAAGACTGAGCCACCCAGGCACCCTAAACCCAGAGAGTTTCTCTATATGCTTTACCCCCACACATACACAGCCTTCCCCACTATCAATATCCTGTACTAGAGTGGTACATTTGTTAAAATCTTCAAACCTACATTGACACATCATTATCACCAAAATTCATAGTTCACGTTAGGGTTCACTCTTGGTGTTGTGCATTTTATGGGTTTGGACAAACATATAATGACATGTATCCATCGTTATAGTATTATATATTATTATATATATAGTATTATATAGAATAGTCTTACTGCCCTAAAAATCCTCTGTACTTTGCTTATTCATCCCTACCCCACACGCCTATGAAGCCCTGGCAACCACAGAGCTTTTTCTGTCCCATAGTTTTGCCTTTGCCAAATGTCATATACTTGGAATCATACAGTATGTATGGCTTCTTTCACATAGCAATATGCATTTAAGTTTCCTCCATGTCTTTTCATGGCTTATTAGCTCATTTCTTCTTAGCACTGAATATTATTTCATTGTTTGACGTACCATAGTTTATTTATCTATTCACCTATTAGAGGATATCTTGGTTGCTTTCAAGTTTCAGCAACTATGAATAAAAGCTACCATAAATATCTGTGTGCAGGATATTATATGTACATAGCTTTTCAGATCATTTGGGCAAATAATCAAGAAACACAATTGTTGATTCATATGGTAAGATTATGTTTAGTTTGTAAGAAACTGCCAAACTATCTTCTAAAGTGGCTGGTCCATTTTGCATTTCCACCTGCAATGAACGAGAGTTCCTGTTGCAGACATACTCATCAGCATTTAGTGTTGTCAGTGTTCTGGATTTTGGCCATTCTAAGAGGTGTGTAGTGGTATCTCATTGTTTTAATTTGCATTTCCCTAATGACACGATATTGAGCATCTTTTCAAAAGCTCATTTGCCATTTATTTATCTTCTTTGGTGAGGTGTCTTTAAGGTCTTTTGGTCATATTTTAACTGGGTTGTTTTATTATTGTTGAGTTTTAATAGTTCATTTTATATTTTGGATAACAATCTAATCAGACAAGTTTTTTGCAAATATTTTCTCTCAGTCTACGGTTTATCTTCCGATTATCTTGACCGTGTCTTTAACAGAAATTTTTAAGTGCAGCTTATCAATTATGTCTTTCATGGACCGTGCCTTTGGTGTTGTATCTAAAAAGTCAACACCATTCCTAAGGTATCTAAGTTTTCTCCTGTTATCTTTTAGGAGTTTTATAGTTTTGTATTTTACATTTAGGTCAATAATCTATTTTGTATTATTTTTTGTGAAGGATATAATGTTTTTCTGTGTTTAGTTCATTTTGTTTGTTTTTTGCATGTGGATATCCAGTTGTTCCAGCACCACTTATTGGAAAGACAATCTTTTCTCCATTGAATTCTTTGCCCCTTTGACAAGGATTAGTTGAGTATATTTGTGTGGGTCTATTTCTGGGCTTTCTATTCTGTTTCACTGATCTGTCTATTCTTTCAACAATACCACACTGTTTTGAATACTGTAGCTTTATAGTAAGTCTTGAAGTCCCCAACTTTGTTCTTCTCCTTCAATGTTGCCTTGGCTATTCTGAGTCTTTGGCCTCTCCACTTTAGAATCATTTTGTCTCTATCCACAATATAACTTGCTGGGATTTTGATTGGAACTGTGTTAAATCTATAGAACAAGCTGAGAAGATCTGAGAGCTTGACAATATTGAGTCTTCTTATCCATCAACTAGAATAGCTCTCCATTTATTTAGCTTTGATTTCTTTCTTCAGACTTTCATACTTTTCCTTGTATATATTTTTTTTACAAAATTTCGTATTTTAGTTTGTTAGACTTATACTTGAGTACTTAACTTTTTTTTTTTGCATGCTAATGTAAATGATGATTTTTGTTTGTTTGTTTGTTTGTTTGTTCAAATTCCAGTTGTTCATTGCTGGCAGAGAGGAAGGAAATTGGCTTTTTATATTAACCTTGTATCCTGCAATCTTGCTATAAATGCTTATTAGTTTCAGGAGTTTTTTTGTTGATTCTTTTAGATTTTCTATATAGCCAATCATCTCATCTGTGAACAAAAACAATTTTATTTCAATTTCCCCAAACTGTATACCTTTTATTTCCTTTTCTTGCATTTGCTAGGACTTTCATTATGATATTAAAAAGAAGTGCTGAATCGTGACCTCCTTGCCTTGTTCTTGATCTTAGCAAAAAAGCTTCTGGTTTCTTATAATTACACTTTTTTTAGGGATAAAAACTCAGATTGCCACCAACAGTCTGCACCAAAAATTTTTTAATAAAAGTTTTAATGAGCTTTTTAATGCAAGTTATTTTATGCCCTAAATGAAAGGATTGGTTAATTTTGTTTTGGTTTATGCATCTTTGTTTTACTTATCTTGCTCCCTTACTGAAACTTGATGGTGGTAGCTGAAATAGTTCATTCATTCTTGGATGCTTATGTGTTTTCTTATTTTTTATTTTTATTTTATTTTAATTTTTTAAAGATTTTATTTATTTTTATTATTTGAGAGAGAGAGAGTGAGAGAGAGCACAAGCAGAGGGCAGAGGGAGAAGCAGACTCCCCATGAACAGGGAGTCCTATGTGGGACTCGATCCCGGGACTCCGGGATCATGACCTGAACCAAAGACAGATGCTTAACCAACTAAGCCACTCAGGTGCTCATGTGCTTTTTTTTTTTTTAATAGTACTTTATTGAATAATTTACATATAGTAAAATGTGCAAATATTAAGTGTACAGTTTAATGACTATACATACACATATGTGTGTGTGTATACTTATATCCATGTGACCACTTCCTATATCAAGATATTTCCACTACCTCAAAGAGTTCCCTTGTGACTTTCCAGTCAATAGCAACTCCCATACCTCTCCTTTGTGGTTAATCACTATTTTTGATTTCTCTCACCATAAGTTGGTTTTGCTTATTCCTGAATTTTACATAAACAG